GCCTGTCTGCGCTTCCAAATCGGCGAATCCGACAAATTGGATGACGTCATGGAGTGGTCTTTAGAGCGACAGCCAATCGACACGTCTTTCCCGCACAGACCGCACGACACGGTCTGCGACGACAGCGCGTCGTCCTCTTTGGCGACGACAGACGATGAGACCACAGACGACGCCTCGCAGGCCGTCTTCTGTTGCTTTAACTGACAACTCATTTGTCGCACGTCTTCGCGGATTATCTGTCGAATTGTGCGCAAAAACGCGTTCCGGTATTCGCACGAACTGTTGGACAACCGGTAGATCTTCTCCGAGCGCTTGCCCGCACTCGTCTTCAGCTGAATCAGTTCCCACCGGAAGTCGTGTTCCGTCTCCGTGTGCGCCGACGCGCGCACCTGCACCTCAATCACGGGAATCAGCGTTTGGTGACTGAAAGGCAAACAATTCTTATAAAGAGTTACAAAAATCTCCAAAAGTCTACCGAATTATCTCGACTTCTGTGCGCGACTGCGACGCCGATGTCGTCGTCTGTCGTTTGTTGCGACGAATCGTCTCTTTGCAGAGGAAGACCACGAATTGTCTGAAGACGAAACACATTGAGTGTAGTTCGACGCCTTTGCGGCTGTTTTTGCCCAAAAACTCCATCGAATTAATCCATTGGACGCCTCCGTACTGATAGACGACAGACGACACGTTAGACGACAGGCAGAGAGTGTCTACCAATACTCACGTGAATGAGAGCTGTGGGCGAGAGGTCGACGCTCTGTTGGGTGGCGCGCGCCTGGATGCGGGCCAAGTGCTCGAAAATGGCGCCGTACTCCTCGTGGATGCGTTGCATTTCGTTTATGTGTTCGGCGACTGCGGAGACAGAGAGACGACACGTGAGACGACAGACGACATGGCGATAGACAACAATACTGACCGCTTTCGACGGCTTTGAGCGCGTCGTCGAGGCGTCGACTTTGCGGCGAATCTTTGGCACAAAAGGACTTCATTTGCGACAAAAGGAGCGGATATTTGAGAACGCGTTGAATGGGTTTTATGAGAAACGACTCGAGAGACTGCGCCAATTGGCCGGAAGAGCGTCGAGACAGCCATTCCTTGAGTTGCAGACATTGAGCGCTCTTCTCGTCGGACAACAACTTGACGGCTCGCGAGTGCGACGCGCAGAACGTCGAGTAGTTGCGGAAGGCGTTGGAATGCGCGAGGAAACAGCGGGCGATGGCCTCCACGTCGAGAGGCGTCGCGGCGTCGCTTCCGTCGCCTCCGCTGTCGTCCGAAGCGATGGATTGCAACTCGTTTTTGAACTGCTTTTGGTTTCGAATGATTTCTATTGAAAACAATTGGGATTTGAATACAAAACACGGATTTCAAGGAAAATAAGCGAACCTTTGATTGAACCGAAAAGCACTGCGATATCCGTTTGCGACAGAAGTGTCGTCTCGCGCGACAACGGCTCCAAATACAGGGACAACAGCTGCTCGAGCGACGCGCAGTACGACACCTCCGTATCGACCAATTCCTTCACCACTTTTCGCATTTTGTCCGAAGGAGTCGTTGCCGTCGTCGCCGGTGTCGTCGCGTGTCGTTCGAGACGACGTCCGCTGTCGTCGTTTTGTGCGGGAAAATGGATGAGTTGTGAGAAGGAGTTCTGTTTCGGCAGAAATGCGTCCACTTTTGGCACAATCAGGTCTTTCAGTTGTTCGCTGTTTATGAGCGTTGCGTTCGCCGAGTCTTCGGGCGGCGGCGGACACACGAGCGACTCAATCATGTCATCCGTCGTCTCTATTGTGTCGTCCGCTACGACAACGCCGTCGTTGGGCTGCTGAGAGCTGTCGCGCGCCGACCGAATCATGAGACAGAGGTTGCACTCCTCCTGCAGAAGCGACTCGACGAACATCATGTCCAAGTCGTGCACGAGAGCGCCGTTTATGACCACCAGTTCGTCCAGACGTCGCAATCCGTGCGACGCAGCGATACTTCCGCTGCAAAGACGACACTCAGTATAGACAGACGACGAAAGAGACGACACTCACCTCTCGACCCGCGATACGTAGACACAGAGATCGCTCGCCATGAGCTCCGACTCGACGGAAAAGCCGAACAACACGTCATTCGTGTCGCGCGAAAGCTCGACTGTGAACAACACTTTGGGAATGATTTCCAGCAAATCGCGCGACAAGTGGCCCAACAAAAGGCCGCGACTCACGATCCGCGAGCTCTGCGACACGTAATACTCGCGTGCGTTGCTATGCGACGACATGAGGTGCAACAGCAGCTGATCCGTCGTCCACTCCGACGACACCTCGAGACGCCGTCGTTCGCCGGTTGTCGTCATCAAGACGTCCACTTCGATGAGTTTGTCGTCGCGCGTCGTCAACACGACGTCCTTCTCGTCGCTCTTCTGTCGCCGCAAAAGACTTCCGACTATTGAGGGGTTTTTGGCGCAATTGAAGGCGTGAAGAGAGGACACCGTGAAGACTCCCAATCGGTTGAGTTGCGATTTCGTGCGTCTATTCGTCAGCGAGAGCACAGTCTTGGGATTCGGCATCTCGTCGTTGGCCTCCACTCTGCGGACGAAAGACGACAGACGTCACAAAAAGACGACACACAGACGACGACGACTACTCACGCGCTGAGATAGCACTTGAGGCGAAAGATTTCGATTCTCTGTTTCTCGTTCTTCTCCTCCGACGCCATGATTGCGTTCACGAGCGCCTGTCGCTGTTTCTGGTCGTCAACGGCGACACATGTCAACAACAGTTCCGTCTCGTGACGCGCGCGGCCCTCCGTCTCTACCTGGCGCTCGAGTCGCGCGATCTCGTCGGCGATCACGTGCGCGACGGCCGCCTTTCCCGAGTTGCGGGCGATTTGCGCGGCGCACGCGCTGTGAATGGCGGCGATCCAGGCGTCGCGTTCCAACAAACAGGGCGCGTCGAGAAGGTAGGCGTCGCCGAAAGCCGTCGACAAACAGAACACATGATCGCGTTTCGGGTGTTCGGGAACGGACTGCACGAGACAGTTGTCCACAAAGATGAGGTGTTTGGGCGCCGCGTCGATGGCGTGGCCGTCACGTGACTCGCAGTTGTAGAAGAGAAGAGTCGTGCCCTTCAGACACACCCAATAGCTGTGGAGTGGCGAGAGGTGAGAGGGAGAGGAGGTCAGAGGTCGCGAACACTCACCCCTTCCAACCGCGCCGACGCGCCAATTCCAACGAATGGCGTTTCCTTAGTAACCATTTCTTGACGCAAACGAAACCCGATTTGCGGACAGAACCCAAACACTCGAAGTTCGCGGCTTTCGGACGGAAACGGAAGTCAGAAGGAGTCGCGAGAAGCGAAGGAAACTCACCGGAAGTGCCGGAGCGCGCGCGGAGAGGCGACTCGCGGTCGGCGTCGTCGTCGTCGCTGATGGCTGTCGTCAGTGACGCCTTTTCGTCGTCCGAGACCTGCGAACAGAGAGACAG